CATGACTGACCTAGCCCTACAGAGGAGAAATGCGTGTGTCGGAGAACAGTGACTTTACACAACAAAGCATTACATGGTGGGAGTCATGGGTGGCTTCATTAAAAAAACATGGAAATACTTGTGGAAGTGTTACACCACCTGATCAATTTAATGGGGGGGGGGGAAGTAGATACAACAAGCTGTTTATTTTTCCATTATAAAACACACTTCCCTCACCAAAGAACAAAAAGGGAGAGAGGAGACCTGATAGCCGTCTCTGGAGAAAAGCAGGTAGTTAAGTATAAGACAACCTGTGCAATGCAGGTAGTCTGACTGGTGACTTTTTATTGCTGTGTGTATGACTGCAACAAAGCAGAGACTATTTTTTTTTTCATGGGCTGATGTGACTCAAGATTAAGCTTTATTGTGAATGTTGAATGTGGGCCTAATCCCGTCAGGTGCTGAGTACCCAATCCAGAAAACATTTGTTGAAAGTTAAGGAAGGCCGGTGGGACTACCCACATTAAAACAACAACAACAACAAAAACCAATCTGACTGATCATGTTAGCACTTTATTATATCTGGTAATATCTGCCCTTCTGCATAATTATAAATGACTTTTTTTTTTTTTTTTAATTTGCCTCATCTCAGTTTCTGCAACCTATGCTTACACAGGTTCTGTTTCTGCAAGTGTATTCTTCAGCACTGGAAATATCAACATGAATGCACGAATCTGAAGCACTTTCCTGGGCTGTGCTCATCCACAGATTCACCCGTTCATTTGTGTGGGTTTTACAATAATGTTTTGTTATTGTTTTGCGTCAATATTTGCTACTGCGCTGGCTCTGCCTTTTTCCTTCCACCCACCTTTCTCCTCGCGCGCGCGCTGCCAGAGAAGTGTGGTTTGACTGAAACCATTCCAAGAGATATTGCCGTTTACAGCAGCGTCACTGGGTATAACTTGTCAGGCAACGTCCAGGGGGCTGGAGGGGAGGCAGCACATGAGGGCACTGCTATGCGTACCCGGGGTCCCCTGCAGCCCATCCCCAGCCAGCACCCTCACTAGTCTGGAGAGGGCTGTGCCACGTCTGAGGGCATGGGTGTTGTACGGCTGGAGGTTTTGGGGCTGGGTCATGGGTTCACAATTTCTGAGCTCTTCTTTTGCCCCTCTGCAGGGCTGGACAAGTCAGGCTCTCTCTCCTTTTACCAGATTATCTGCAGCACAGAGGGATGGCTTGCAAAGTGTCTTTGGGAGAAGGGCTTAAATCTGGGCACCCAAGCCTCTAGAAGCAGAAGTGCAGAAAGGTCTTTGCCAACATATTTACTTATCCCTGTGCAAGGGCCTGCTGCCTGTGAAATACTGTGGGGCAGCGACGAAGCTACTATGCTTTCTGGGGAAGCCCTAGGTGAGAGGGCTGGGTTGGCAGCTATTTCCTTCTCATAAGCTTCTTCCTTTGCCCTCCCAATGATGCTGTGTTTGCCATTGCCTTTCTCAACCATCAG